CAGCAGCAAGATTTGGAGCAGCTTTAGGGCTGTCACTACCTCAAGTTATATACAACGAATTTCATTATATTGGTAATTCTTCATACAGGCTTGGCACTACTGTAATGGCTGGTGTTGCTGGTATGGTCATCTGTTTGATAGTTACAGTTGTCATGATAATAATGGATAAATTTAGAAGCAGTAAATTCACAGCTAAAACCAGTAAGATAAAATGCAGTGATGTGAAGCAGTTTTCACCCCGCTTCTGGATTGTTGCAATTATAATGATGTATTATGCTATTGACTTTGCATTTGCAGGTATAGGGCAAGTGTTTTATGCCCAGAAGTATGGCCTGTCATTAAGAGCAGCAAGCCTAGCTAATTCTTTAGTATTCAGTGCAACCATACTTCTAACACCAGTAATGGGTTATGTAGTAAATGCTGTTGGATATCATTTACTATGGATAATATTAGGTCTAGCTATTGCAGTAATTGCTCATCTCATTCTACTGCTAAGCAATCCAGGATTGACTTACATACCTTACATTGCTAGTATCATTTATTCTATATCTTACACTTTATTAGGTTCATCGTATTGGCCTCTTGTTGGGTTTCTTGTGAAAGCTAGCCAAATTGGAACAGCATACGGAATTGTTTTAGGCGTTCATAACCTTTTTTGGGGTCTATTGTCGATAGTCTCTGGTGTCATCATTGATAACAATGGTTACTTTGTGTTAGAGATAATGTACTCGTTGCTGTCATTTCTAGTGCTAATGGTATCAGTGTTAGTGTTAATGATTGATCTCATATCAAAGAGATCAGTCTTGCTTTTACCTGGGACTTGTACTGCAAAAAGAAAAGAAAAAAGTATTGCCACAGAGGAAAAAAATGAAAAATAAATCCTTTATTATCATTTTAATACTTTGTTTCACTAGCACTCTAGCTATCAGTTTTTATAGTGTATTATTCTGTGTGGGATGTGAATTTTGCATTGCAGCCCAACCCAATACGTGGGCTGGGTCTGGCGTGAAACCACATTAACCACGGCTAACATTATGGAGGATGAATATGTTGTTGTATTGAAGTACAAAGCAAACAAGGAACAAAGCGAGTTAGAAGGATGTGACAGGTCTTCTGTCAGCCTAGAGGTTAAAAGAAAAGCTCCAGAAACACGTTATTTCCATCCAAACCATTGGAGCTATGGTAGTATCTTACTAGCATTGACATGTTTCACAATATTTATTGGAAATTGCTGCAATGAGAGTCCAGGAGGATTGGAGGACATTATCATCAAAGTAATGGGTATTGATACCACACAATACAACCTGCTCTTTCTTGTCACTACATGGCCTAACATATTTGTGCCAGTAATAGGAGGAGTGATAGCTGATAGGGTATTAGGACCGAGATCAAGTTATCTGATTGTGGTACTCATCACAACACTGGGTCAAATTATTTGGTCTGTTGGCAGTTTCATCAATTATTTCTGGGTCGTTTTAATTGGTCGATTTTTTATTGGTGCTGGAGCAGCTACTATTATATCAGTTGCAATAATATTCCAGTTTAAATGGTGTGACAGGAAGTATCTCACGTTTGGACTGTCTGTAAGTTCAACAATGGCAAGGCTTGGAGCAGCTGTTGGGCTTTCGCTACCTCAATTTATATACAATGAGTTACATTACATTAGTAACCCTTCATACAGGCTTGGCACTACTGTTATGGTTGGTGTTGCTGGTGCATTTATTGCAGTAATAGTTACTGTCATCATTGTAATTATGGATAAGTTTAGCAGCAAAAAATTCACCAAAAGCAATAAAGTTAAATGCAGTGATGCAAAGCATTTTTCACTTCATTTCTGGATTGCTGCATTATTGACTATTTATTATTCAGTTGTGTTAGGATTTGCAGGCATAGGGCAAGTATTTTATGCCCAGAAGTACAGGCTGTCATTAAGAGCAGCAAGCCTAGCTAATTCTTTAGTATTCAGTGCAGCCATACTTCTGACACCAGTGATGGGGTATGTAATAAATGCTATTGGGTATCATTTACTATGGACAATATCAGGCATAGCTATTGCAGTAATTGCTCATTTCATTCTACTGCTAAGCAATCCAGGATTGACTTACATGCCATATGTTGCTAGTATCATTTATTCAATTTCCTATACATTATTCAGCTCATCGTTTTGGCCTCTTATTGGATTTCTTGTTGAAGGTAACCAAGTTGGAACGGCATATGGAATTGTTTTAGGCGTTCATAACCTTTTTTGGGGTCTATTGTCGATAGTCTCTGGTGTCATCATTGATAAGAATGGTTACTTTGTGTTAGAGATAATGTACTCGTTGCTGTCATTTCTAGTGCTAATGGTATCAGTGTTAGTGTTAATGACTGATCTCATATCAAAGAGATCAGTCTTGCTTTTACCTGGGACTTGTACTGCAAAAAGGAAAGAAAAAAGCATTGCCACAGAGGGAAAAAATGAAAAATAAATCAATTCTTTATTATCATTATTACTTGTTTCATTAGCACTCTAGCTATCAGTTTTTATAGTATTCTGCGTGGGATGTGCTGT